TGGATATGAAGACATCATGGGACGACACGGACTGGGAGAAAGAAACGAAAATGGTGAGAGATTTGCAAACCTATGTGCCTTCAATAAACTGGTCATAGGCGGCACCATATTCCCACATAAACGCATTCACAAAACCACATGGACTTCACCAGATCACACCACGCAAAACCAAATCGACCATATTTGCATCAACAAAACGTTCAGGAGGACTATAGAGGACGTGAGAACCAAGAGAGGAGCTGATATAGCATCAGATCATCACTTGCTGGTCGCCAAGATGAAATTGAAACTCAAGAAGCACTGGACAATGGGGCGGACAATATCACTAAAGTTCAATACGGCCTTTCTTCAGGATACTAACAAACTCAACAAATTCAAGATAGACCTCAGCAACAAGTTCCAGGCCTTTCATGATATACTCAATGGAGAAGGAACTACTGTGGAGAGCTACTGGAAGGGGATCAAAGAGGCAATCACTTCAACATGTCATGAAGTCCTGGGTCACAAGAAGCACCATCACAAGGAATGGATCACTGTTGATACACTGAATAAGATTCAAGAAAGGAGAAACAAGAAGGCAGCAATCAATACCAGTCGAACAAAAGCAGAAAAAACCAAGGCACAAGCTGAATACACAGTAGTAAACAAACAAGTGAAGAAGAGCATCAGAACCGACAAACGTGAATATGTGGAAGATTTAGCAACGACGGCGGAAAAGGCTGCAAGAGAAGGCAACATGAGACAACTGTATGACATAACATAGAAACTCTCTGGAAATCACCGCAAACCAGAACGACCAGTGAAAAGCAAGGAAGGCAAGGTAATCACCAACATTGAAGAGCAACAAAACAGGTGAGTAGAACACTTCAAAGAACTCTTGAATCGACCAGCTACACTGAACCCACCCAACATCGAAGCAGCACCCACGGACCTCCCAATCAACGTTGGCCCACCAACAATTGAAGAAATCAGCATGGCCATCAGACAAATCAAGAGTGGCAAAGCAGCAGGACCAGACAACATTCCAGCAGAGGTACTAAAAGCAGACGTAGCGGAAACTGCAAGGATACTCCACATTCTCTTCAATAAGATTTGGGATGAGGAACAAGTACCAACAGACTGGAAAGAAGGACTTCTGGTCAAAATACCGAAGAAAGGCGATCTCAACAACTGTGATAACTACAGGGGCATCACTCTTCTTTCAATACCGGGAAAAGTCTTCAACAGGGTATTGTTAAACAGGATGAAGGACTGCGTAGACGCCCAACTTCGTGACCAACAGGCAGGATTCCGTAAGGATAGATCGTGTACAGACCAAATCGCAACTCTACGGATCATTGTGGAACAATCAATTGAATGGAATTCATCACTCCACACCAACTTCATTAGCTATGAGAAAGCATTTAATAGGATGGATAGGACAACACTATAGAGGCTTAAGACAGTTCTACTGTATGGGGCGGAAACCTGGAGAACTACGAAAGCCATCATCCAGAAAAGACAGGTGTTTATTAACAGTTGTCTATGCGAAATACTTCGGATCCGTTGGCCGGACACTATTAGCAACAACCAACTGTGGGAAAGAACAAAGCAGATCCGAGTGGAGAAAGGAGCGCTGGAAGTGGATAGGACACACATTGAGGAAAGCACCCAACTGCGTCACAAGACAATCCCTCACATGGAATCTTCAAGGCCAGAGGAAAAGAGGAAGACCAAAGAACACATTACGCCGGGAATGGAGACAGAAATGAGAAAAATGAAAAAGGATTGGGTGGAACTAGAAAGGAAGGCCCGGGATAGAGTGGGTTGAAGAATGCTGGTCGGCAGCCTGTGGACAAGAGAATATTATGGAAACTTCTTCGACATTATGGAGTTCGAGAAAATTGTCAACATTATCCGGCACTCATACGACGGACTACATGGTGCATGGATGACAGCTGACAAATGCATTCCAAGTAAGGACCGGAGTCAGACAAGGCTGATTACTCTTGCCCTCTCTTTTCCTTATAGTGGTTGACTGGATAATGAAGACCCCGACATCTGAAGGGAAGCACGGAATACAATGGACAGCTCAGAATCAATTAGACGATTTGGACTTCGCTGATGACCTAGCCCTCCTATCCCATACACACGAACAAATGCAGATAAAGACAACTAGTGTAGCAGCAGCCTCTGCATGAGTATGCCTCGACATACACAAAAGAAAAAGCAAGATCCTCATATACAGTATGAAGAGCACCAACTCAATCACACTTGATGGAGAAGCTCTGAAAGATGTGGAATCTTTCATGTGCCTGAGAAGCATCGAGGAGGATCTGATGTAGAAGTAAATGCGAGGATCGGCAAAACAAGGTCCGCATTCCTACAACTGAAGAACATATGGAACTCAAAACAATCGTCAACCAATACCAAAGTCAGAATCTTTAATACGAACGTCAAGACAGTCCTACTGTACGGAGCTGAAACGTGGAGAACTACTACAACCATCATCAAGATGGTACAAGTAATTATAAATAGTTGTCTGCGCAAGATACTCAACATCCATTGGCCGGATACCATCAGCAGCAGCCTCCAGCTGAAGAGGAAATTAGGAAAAGACGTTGGAAGTGGATAGGACATACATTACGGAAATCAGCAGACTGCAATGCGAGACAAGCCCTAACCCGGAATCCTGAAGGGAAACGGTAAAGAGGAAGGCCGAAGAACACATTACGTCGGGAAATAGAAACAGATATGAAAAGGATGAATAACAACTGGAAAGAACTGGAAAGGATTGCCCAGGACAGGGTTGGATGGAGAGTGCTTGTGAGCGGCCTATGTTCCTCTATGAGGAACAGTAGGCGTAAGTAAAACTTACTGTTTATGATATATTATATTTTGGTATTTTATGTATCTGATTACGAAGTTTACAGTCCGTATAGATAGTGGTTAGAGGTATTCGACAGGAAACCCAGGACCCGGGTTTCGTGCTACTTGACACTCGTCAGTAAGGTGCATCTGTAATCTTGAGGGAACTGGTGCTCCCTGATGGATTCGATCCCGTGTCACTTAGCTTCACAGTCAGAGACGTTACCACTGAGCTATCTGGACCGCGACCGACCTCCTGTAGGACTGAGATGTAATCACAATTGATTGATCACTGGGTGGTGATCAATGTCACGTGTGTCAAGTCATTATTAGTGCAGATCGCAAAACACCACCCAATGATCAATCAATTTTGACAGTCCGTATAATACAGAATATTTTTAGGCACTCGTCTGGTATTACTGGAGTTCTGATTGGTAGTTTGGGGAATAGACTAGAATACTGAGTGGCCTGTCGATCGTTTTCGGCACACACACTAACGGTGCTGCCGGAATAATTGTTAACGGAGCATAATCAACTGGAAATCCAAAATATTGAGTATTCCCAACTTCTAATCATATGTAAATTAAATAACTCGATTCATGAATACGTCACATTGACATACTGAATCCCAATTTTTTTGCCACACTGGTGGTTATTGACTTTCTCCAACAGAAAAGATCAAATGATAACCTTAACGCTGATATTTCAATGAACTTTCACACATACTGACGAGTACTATAAAGTGAAATAAAAATGTAAAACGCAAACAAAACATGCATAGTACGTCAGTTCTTTGTGGAAACGCCAATACAAACCATAGAACAAAGGCTCTGGGAGCAAACGTGATATGATAACTTCCGGAAACAACTTAATCATGTGATGGCAGTGAAAAATCGGTCAAATAAAGTTATACCAAGCATTGTACTAGTGAGAAATAAAATGACTAGGCATTACGCAGAATGCCTGACAGTATGAATGTAGTACATATAGTTCATAAGTTGAAAATGACGGTAAAGTTTGGTAGAATAAAGACTTGAGATGTCAGATTATTTTGAATCGATTCTTCAAAAAACCAGTTGACAACACTAAATATGGATTGTGAAAAGTGAGGAAGGACAAGGATCTAGACTCCTGTGAAATAAAAAATGAACGGAAAACCAACAGCCAAACGGATATTATAATAGACGAATCGAAGGAAATTTGTCAGGAAAGATAAACATAATATCATGAAGTACTCGATATATTTAGGAGGTTAAATACTGCATGAGCCTATTCTACTGTGAACCTTGATCTACATGAACCAAATTATTTAAGCTTGTATTCCCAATTCGCTGATGAACCCAGCTAGGAAATCCAAATTATTGAAACGTTAATAAACTTCGTGGATTGATATGGACACGGCTAACTTTATTCTAATCCAATAAGGATGATTTAGCTAAACCACATTCACATTCTATAGAAGTACAAAAAAGTAGAGACCTATCAATAAGACTTGCATCGCCTCACGATGCTCCACTGCCTTGCGGATCAGACCTTTAGGTAAAAGGCTCGGGGTGTGGCCACCTAAGATAACCACCTGCTTCGGTCTGGGCACCGAGCAGTATCGCAGCTCACACACACAAATATGGTGTGGCGCATATATATTTGGTGCCCCCTTGTACCAATATTTATGTGTTGAAATAAAAATAAAAAAATAAAATTTTGGACTATTTTATATTGAGTCTGTAACACGTTATTACCGTTAAGTGAACCTTATTCAGTTAATATATAGCTCCTTACACGACGTTTAGCAATGTCTGATATTAAACGGATGCTTTGGACCCAACGTCCTTTATATATTTCACTAACATACTTTATTACTTATAAGGTTTTAAGTTTCCTGGAAATAAAGATGCTGGTTTGTAAACGTGATAAAATAACTTATTTTAAAACAATCAACGTAACTCAGAAGCTGTTCGGAGTACATATGGAGACGAACTATGTTTACTTATTATCTGATGAGTTATACTTTAGTTTGATAAATTTAATTGAGAAGCATGATGTACAAAAATTGTAATCGGAATTTCTGGTACGCTTGAAGCTAAGGTAAAACTGACTAATTAGTTCCAATCGCAATAATAATTAACAAATAGTAGCGACAGATATTACTCCACCTTAACATCATGTAAAATCCTCCTTAACTGGATCAACCGATCTAATATTCGATCTTTTCTTCCCGACGATTCGTTAGATAAAGCCAAGAACATATGTTTGCATTTGAGAATTGCATCCTTCAACTCCTCCACTGATGAATTCTCGTTGATGCGTGCCTAGGAAGGATTAAAATGTGTGTAAGTACTTGGGACTACAAAAACAAAATTTATTGATATCTAAAACTTAATTACTTGAAGACAAATGTGCTCAACTTACGAAGGGTATGCTGAAATAATCGCTAGATAGATATTCTAAAAAGCCTTTCACTCTGAAGTTTGTGAGCGTTGGGGCTATACACAAATTTAGATATAATTAACTTTACAAACGACCCACCATCATACAGAGCAGATATGAGACTCTGCTGTTCGTTTGTATCACAATTAAAAGGGTTGAGACGTCGAGATCCTTTAGCATCTGCATTATCCATATTATAATGATTTGATTTGAAACAACTTAGAACAAAACAACAAGAAAGCATTTAAGAGACAAAAAATAACACTGGATTTTAGGGAATGATGTGTGGACAACTTTATGCACTTTGGAAAACCTAGATGAACATCAATTATAAGTGTTGTAAACTTGCAAGTCAACAGATAACTAGAAGACAGAATTCATGACTTGGGTGAACTTTAATATTGAAACTAAAACCCTTCAGGGATAAGTTCCGGATATCTTTTTGTTGATTTCATAATGATCCAGTGAATAGAACATAACTAAATTGTGTCGATCCAAATGATGTCATAGTTTTCACGCAGACAAAGTAATACTGCCAACTGCCTAGAGATGTCACTCTTAAATGAGTTTACGAACAGGATTTAATAACTAGGGTTAATATAAGATTTAAGATTAGAATTTGATTAATGACTAGGATGTAAGGTTTGGGATTAGGATGTACAGTTTAGTAGTAAACTTAAAGTAACCAGAAAGACTTTAATATATTTAACCGCCTTAGCCCATCAGAGAATATAAATGACTAGTTCACAATTCAAAAAAAACGAAGGACCCAACTACTAATATTTTGGCTTTACATGATTCAAATGGTTGTGAACGGAATAGAAGAAGCTTTGGCTTAACAGGCTTCCGTGTCTAGTAGCAGGGGATCACCAAATCCTCCAGGCAGGAACCTAGGTATGTTAACAATAAAAGAGGAAAAGAAATTGGTAAATCATAGTGTGATACTGTCCTTGGTCCTTAAGAATAGGTCAAGTTGCCTCTTAAAGGACTCCTGAGAAGTCGCTTAGACTAGCTCGGCCGGCAGCGAATTCCAGCTTTTGACAACTCTTAAGGAGTAGAAGTTGTGTCTACATTCCGTCTTGCTATGTTGAGTTTCCAGTTTCTAGGTGTTACCTCTTAGGTTATTATTCGAACTAAGCATAAGTAGGTGTTTAAGAGGATGTCTAGAAATGTTAAGAATACTGTAAGCCATTAATAAATCACCTCTAAGACGCCTATACTCTAATGGGTAAAAGTTTAGTGAATGGAGGCGTTCTTCGTAAGTCTTAGATTTGAGTCCTCGAACTGATTTCGTGGCTCGCCGTTGGATACGCTCCAAAGTGACCTTGTCCTTTTGGAGTGAGGGGGGAGTACTATGTTTCCGTACTCTAAATGGGGACGGATAAAACTATTGAAGATTGTATGGAAAGTTCTTGCGTCAAACTGGCCAAAAATGCGCTTCAATGTTACCAGTGCAAGGTTTGCTCGGAAGGCATTTTTGTCACAATTAGCGTAAGACTTTAAATCATGGGGCACCAGGACTCCTAAATCTTTTTCGACTTGGGATACTACTAGAGAGGAGTTTCCTAAGTTGTAACTGTAGTTTGCGACATGTCGCAGATGGACTACTTTACACTTTGAAGTGTTAAAGGTAAGTCTGTTATCATCTGCCCAACTTTGAAGTCGAGTCAGATCCTCCTGAAGTGCCTGTGTATCGTCTTGGTTGCGTATCTCTCTCCAAAGTTTTACGTCATTGGCAAAAAGTAATAAGTCTGACGTTACCTGTTGAGGAAGATCATTTATGTAGGTCAAGAAGAGAAGAGGCCCTAGTACTGAGCCCTGGGGGACCCCACTAGGACATTCTATAGCCTGAGATAAAGTGAAATTAACCCTAACCTTAAAGTGTCGATTTTCTAGGTATGAAGTAAGCCAATCGATTAGAGGTGGTTTGATACCTAGTCGTTTGAGCTTATTGATAAGACACAAGTGGCTAACTTTATCAAAAGCTTTTGAGAAATCAAAGTAAATGATCTCAACCTTTCCCTTGCAATCAAGGATGCTTGTCCATCTGTCCACCGCAGTCAGCAGGTTGGTTATACAAGAGTAACCCTTCCTGAAACTATGCTGTTGGGGTGAGAAGAAATTTAAGGACAGTAGATAGTCGTTTAAACTGTCACATATCAGGGACTCCATGAGTTTTGAAGGTAATGACAGAAGAGCCACCGGCCGATAACTTGAAGATTCATTGCGTCGACCACCTTTGAAAATTGGTGTGATGTGAGCCAACTTCCAATTTTCCGGTAATTTGCCTCGGCTTAGCGAGTGTGAAAACATCACGCTAAGCGGCATAGCCAGGATTGAGGCTGCCTCCCTCAATATGGCAGAATGAACCATATCCGGGCCAGGAGAAGTATCTCGTCTTAAGTGCTGCAGTTTCCGGAACACCAAGTCAGCGCTTAGGTCCACTTCGGAAAGTCCTGTGGAATTGCGGATGAAACTGTCGTCAATAAAGTTGATGTCATCCGGCTGAAATGTTTGAGAGTAATGTGCCGCCAGAAGGTTAGCGGCGTCACCAACGTTGTTGGTCGGGCCGTTAAGAACTAGCAGTTGAGAAACTCCTGTTTTGGCTTGACGAAGAGAGGTTGCATAACGGAATGGGCTTCCAGGGTGAGGCAAATTTGTCCATAAGCTTTGTCTGGTACTGAAGCCTGTCATCACTTATAGCCTTCGTGCATATGTTCCTGATATGTTTATATTGCCTATACGCTCCGTCGTTATTAGTTCGTTTGTATTCCACCCAGCAGTGCCTTTTGCGGCTTAGCAGGCGAAGGGTACGGTTCTTGATTACTCTAGGTGGCTTGCAGCTTTTGGGAACCGTTTGAGGAACTGAATGGTTTGTAGCACATAAGAGCGTGTGCAGTAAGAAGTCCCAATGACCGTCCACATCGAGTTGAGGGTGAACATCCCAAACCACCTGTTGTAGAGTCATGTAGAGCTGGCACATTCAGCCGTTTAAAATTCCAACGCAAATTATTGTTGGGATACCTTAGCTTAGTTTTGATGAGAAAACTGAAGGCTATGACGGCATGATCGCTCTTTCCCAGAGGAGCCAGGATTGAGAGGTTATCAACTAGGAATTCTTCGTTTGTGAATATACAGTCTAAGCGCGATAGTATCTGACTGTTCCTCCAACGAGTTGCTGACCTCACATTTTCATATAAGCCCAAATCATCGATGAGGTTGAAGAACCGAGCTTCAAGTGAGTTGTTGCCTCCAGTATACGAGTGTTCCGCGAAGTTGACTCTAGGGAGATTAAAGTCCCCTAGAATCAGGATGTGTGTGAAACCGAGACGAGTGGGATAGTCCTTCCAGCATACGACTATCGTACTCGATGTCGGCAGTTGGCTTCCTGTAAATGACTCCGACTAGACCTCGAAGTGCTAGACAATCTTACAGAGCACCATATGGATTCCTCAAGATTGTTAAACTCGAGGTTGTGAACTTGGTGCACTACCAAGCAAGAGCTTATGTATATGACTACTCCGCCCCCTATTCCTGTTGTTCTGTCGTTGCGGAACAAAGTCATCCCTGGTAGTGCTAACTCTTGGTCCGAGAACTGAGAAGATATCCAGGTTTCAGATATTCCTATCAGGTGGGCTTTATTAGCGTTGCAAAGTTTACGTAATTCATCCAGTTTGTTTGGTAGACTCGAGGCGTTCATATATAAGCAGTTTATGCTTTCAATTTGGAACGCGTGAGCTTTGTCCTGTTTTTCTGTATGAGCCTTATGTGAATGGACAGGTAGCCCACCTATGTGAGGTTTACCGAGATGGTAGGCCCTGTCCTTTACACGTTTTTTTATAGTTTAGACAATCCACAAGTGGAATGGTCAGCTCCAACTTGCCTTTGTGCTTGGTCCTGGCTTCATATGACCTATCCGAGTGCATGTGGATTCCAGGTGGCAATCGACGTCTGTTGGCACGAAATGCTTCCAGAACTGCAGCCGTCATGTGGAAAGATGGGAAGGTTATCTTCATTAGACGGGGTCTAAGATCACCGCCCTTCTTGGCTAATCTCGTCACATGCTGAGTCAGTATGTGTTTGAGCCTCAAGGACTGTTTGATGAATTTCCATTCCCTGATGTCAGAATTTGATTGAGTAGGGTCTGCTTTTCCGGTATACCTTGCACAATTATGTTTCTTCCGCGGAAAAACTTCTCGCGAGATTCTTTAGGGATGTTTCGTATGATATTGCGCTCAAAGTACGGTATGTCGGGCAATATTCTTACGTTACCATCTGATTTCAGCAAGTGACTTGCTAGCAAGACGTCCTCTACGTCGGTAGCATTCTTAAGTGTTATTCGTAGAAGCCTCGGGTGATTTAGATGCTTAGAATCCTTTCCTCGAGTGAGCCGGGTGACCGTCAAAGGCTCTATTCTAGGAAGTTCGAGCTTCTTGTTCAATTCACCCCAGAGTATCCTGTCGTTTCTGTCCTGCAGACTGAGGAAGGTCAGGATTGTCAACGAGGTTCATGATAATGAGAGAATCGTCACGAACTGTTGTTAATTTACCAGGTTTCACGATGGGTTCAAGTTTAATAACTTGTTGTTTGGAGGTCAGTGTGCGTTTTTGAGGCTTGGACTCTTTATTGACCGGACAAACAGTCTTTGGAGTAGACTGTGCGACCAAATCACCAGTTATTTTCCGTACAGCAACACTTGGGTTACTCGGCTTAGGCGGTGATGCCTGGTTCTTTTGGGCTTTCTTAACGTGGGTCGAATTGCCTACAGGGTTTTTGAGAACCACTGTTGTGTTCAGGGACCCTAAGCTGGGAGACCCGAGTTTGCTTAGGGAGTCTAATACCGTCGACGTAATGATGGTGCTGAGCCTCGACACGTCATCATTAGTGTTGATGGATGCTCCATCGATGGTATACCTGTCGAAATCCCTATTTTTGTATCCGTCGCACGCTCTTGTTTGTCTACCGGTTTTTTTACTATCGTTGTCCAAGTTAACTGACAACTTGTTCCGAAGACCTGTCAGTAGGACAATGATGTTACTCAGCAAGACTACAACATCCGTGCTGCACGTGACACATACCCATTTTTGGTCTGACTTGGTGAGTCTGTTGTAAGCAGTTGCTGTCAGATCTGTGCATGCTTCGTGGAACCAACCTTCGCAGTTGTCGCACAGCATGCCAGTTGTAACAGCAAAACGGCATCCCGGACGTTTGCATGAGCTTTTCATGACTATGTTGAAGCAAACTATGCTATGGATGCTTGCAAAGGCCTAAGACCTTTGAAAAACACTAAAAAGCACACTGAAAACGGACAAAAACGGATAAAACGAGTGATATAAACTGAAACTAGTCTATACGTGAAGAAAAAAACGAAAAGTAAGCTGAGGCATAACCACAGGTAACTATTAAATATCGTGAAACTCAAAAAAAAAGTAATCTACCGAACGTATAGCTCTGGATAGATTCTTTAGAACTTAAATAGTACTTTTCTTGCGTAAGAACAGCAAAAGTTCGATAAATGCAAATCACGGCAAGGCTCCTACGGTATCGTCCAATGATGGGGGTTGCGAGCACTTGAAGGTCAAACTGTCGCAAGATGATTGGTGCATCACATCGACAGTTCGTGAAATTTTTCAGAAGCGGTCAAATCAAGACATTTTTAGATTTGAATTGAGTCCAGCCACACCATGTCTGATAACGTTCATTCCTCAAGTAACGAAGACGATGCCATCGTGATGATGCATGATATAGGAGGAATCTTCAATGATACTATGTTATCTCGAAGATTTACAAGTTGGGATAATTTTGAGACCTTTTTGAAGGAAGTACATAAGGTAATATGACTTCTGTGGTTAGTAATTATTTTTTTAGTATTCGCATACTAATTATGTTATGTCAGTATGCAAAAAGAACAGTGATGATCCAACTTCAAAGTACTTTTTCGTGAGATATGTCTGTACATATGGACGTAAACGCAGTTCGTCAGAGTCAGATGCTTGCGTTCAAGATGTAGATGATGATAGTAATAATCATCATATGTGAGCTTCGCTTTTCATAGCACATTATATTCAGATTTACTCGGAAGTACGAACATCTAAGGACGCATTTCCCACGGGCGTATAATTACATAAAAGATTATTGGATTGCCCGGAGGTCAATGTGGGCTCGCTGTTACCGGCGACATGTATTAAGCCTGGGCAACCACACAAACAACCGTGTGGAAAGTGCTCATAAACACCTAAAAGAATGTCTCAGAAGAGGTGATTCTTTGTTATTGACGTTTTGGAAAATTTGGATCAAAACAGACATTACCATTCGTTTGCGCTCATATGACGCTGTAAAGGACCTTCTAAGTTTTCCAATTCTTCAGGTAAGAAATATAGTTAAATGTATCATTAATTCCAGGTTCCAATGTCATTTCGAACTCTTCTAAATGAGTTCACATCTTTTGCAGCTAAAATTGTAGCTGTAAATTATAAACGCGTTCGGACAATGAGACACGAATTTATAGAAGGAGAATAAATCCGGTTCTACGACAAGGGCATGATGTATGTTGTTGATACTTCACGTGCACGATGTGCATGTGAGCGTCTTAATGACTACATGCTGCCCTGTGGTCATATTTTGTATGCACATTCTAAAGATCTGATTCGTGAAGGTATGTGTGTTCCTTTTGTAGACTTATTTCGACATAAAAACCGGTGGACTAGGAAATATATAATGGACCTGGTTCTTCATGCGCTGGACAACATCTCAATCTCTACAGGGAGTGATGATCTGCTAGAGAAGTCCACTAGCAACTACCACTCAATCCATGCTCTTAGTGAACCTTTGGCAAGTAAACTCATCCGTTCATGCCTCGAAGCATCGGAAGACATATGCGCACAAGTGATGAGTTCAATCGGTGCTAATGATTAAGCTACAACGTCAGAATCCATTGTTAATACAGACCATAGCTATGCTCCTTGATAACTAGAAGTTCTAATATTGTAATCTCTTTAGTTTTACATAAATTCATTTATATGGCCATTGACTTATTCTTATAGCGTAACGGCAGGGAGTGTACTGTGCAGTGTTATGTGGCTGTGAGACAGGGATGTTGTTTCGCGTTCTTGTGTAATAATTACCAGTTTGGCGCACACGCGATTAGTCATACATACCGCTTACCAAATACTGCTACCTTGAACATGGTGTACCATACTAGTAGTTCGAATTTCGACCTGTCACGATAGATAAGAATTGCTGTAATTAAGAGATTAGTGCGCTATAAATGAAAACGTTTATTAAAGTTTGAATCTAGCACAAATGATCCATTAATAAATAACTTCTCTTTCTCCGGAATTGTTCCCGTTAGGTCTGTGAACACTTGCGAAGCTATCTGGAAATAAGATAGACAGGAAAGTTATTTCAGTATAAATGTTTACCAGAAACTAGTATAAAAACGGAAACCAGTATTCAGTTACAGATCGAAAGTGCATTTAGCACACCCTTTCTTTGGATTGTCAATCATGCTTATTTCCTTTATCTCTTGCGCTGCTTAGGAAAGTTTGTGTCGCAACATACATGGATTGTATTATTCAATTCTTTGGACAGGTTGCACTTCGGAAACTTAGACGATGAACATATATAAAGACTACTGTGTGAATTTACTTTGAATCGTTCTGTGTAACCTGCAATTCTTGATGCATATTCTATTCTAGTCCTACATAAGTTATGAATAATTGTCATTTACGGCATCAGCACGTAAGCTAGACAGGCCTTGGTTGATTTCCGAAGATCATCACATAGGATTTCACACAATCTGGTCACCTTAGATCAAGATATCTTGACTATCGAATCGTACTTTTCAGTGCTTTCTCGTGACAGCTTTATAACAGTACTTATTTCTGATATTAAGTATTTTTGCAATAATATCGGCAGCCAAAACATTGTAGATCCCCAGACAACCCAAAAAGGGAAAATAAAGCGGTAAATACTTTGGTAGCGAAAGGGGAAAACGCATCAGAATGTCGCCTTTTTCGCCTGTCCGGGGGAAATAATGTGGATTTCCCCTTTGTCGCCGTTTTGTCGATAAATTACTCACTTTTCGCCTAAATATCCGCCAAATTACCGAATTTTCGCCTAACTGTCCGCAGAATTGTCTACTTTTCGCCTAAATACACACAGAACTCCCTATTTTCCATCCATTGACATAACCCCAAGGGTCTCCTATGTTCGCCTTTATTTTCAACAACAGACCAAAATAAATCTGCAATACAGTGGAAAACCAGCATATTTTTGAAAATTTTTATTTAAAAGGTAAAGCGTATTATTGTACAACACTAGAGCAGAAGCTTAAGCATCGATTGTTTTGCACATCCAATGCAATTGCTAATTCATTGTTATTTGAAATTATCTGCAAAACAACAAAAACGTGATGTATTATTCATAAGGAATGTGCATTTATTCAAAAGTTCACTGACACTCAAACACATATTCTTAACACTTCTACAATTTCCCATGTAAGTAAAAAAGTAAGCTGTTTGAAAAATAATATTTATTGAAATGTAGGTAGAACATCAAAACAATTGCACAGCTATTGAGAATTGAGGTAGTCGTCCCGTGAATTCTGAATTTAAAAAAGGACAAAAGTCACAACCATATCTCAATGACATGCTTTGGTGCAGTCAAATACTTGTGTAGATCTACACAAGAGGTAGTAATGCTATCTTAGCTTGGTCTTTGGTAAAATCTCCACATAAATATACCTCTACCGCATGTTTATGATTTATTTCCTGCAATACAATCATCTGGTGGCTAATATATCTAACTGCAGGAGGTGATATTAACATCATGGTATGTGTTATTATCATCTATAGCATATACATAATATTTACAACACTCAGGACACCTTATGTTTTCACTATAAACCTATTTCTGCCATAAAAGTCGAACAAAACAGTGAAAATCAACAGAAATTGTGATAAAGATGGGAAAAACGATAAATCTTACCATGGTATCGTTAGTTGTAACGCAGTTTTGGTAGCCTTGACGACAATACAATTTTTATGACGATATATGCCTAAATCTTGCTATTTCATATAAAAATAAAAAATTTGTCTACCATCAGTGTATACCTAAGTAGAAATAATTACTAATCTGCGATGCAAACACGAAAAAACAATTATAGCAGCACCTGAATAATGAATTTTCAAGGACTTCACGATACCATGTAACGCAAAATGAAAAAACCCCTTTTCACCTAATTATGAAAACGGAAAATAGACTTTCAAATCTATTCATAATTAATTTCGAAATTTGGTTGTGCACAAAGCAGAAATGAAAAAGTAGCGCAAAAAAGTGTCGCGATATCCCTGGAGTACTAACGTACTAAACTTCCCGTTCGAAAAGCGCGCGCTGATTAATGAGCTTATCTAAGTTATCTGGCACAGTATGCTTGTTAGTTTACGGGTTTTCGCGCACGTGTAACGTATTGTCGTGGATTTTATGTGTCGTTATTTATCAGCTATTAACAGCTTTTTTTCCGTCATACATGACTTTTCGTAATCTTTGTGATTGGAAGATAGTTTTTGTTTCAATTTATAAGCAGTTTGACGTATTTCGTGCTCACCACCTAAGTAAATATGTAGCTGGCGTAATATGGTTTATTTTTAACAATACTAAGTCAAAGAAGTCAAATCACCATTTTTCTAGTCAAAAATAGATTACAGATTGAGTTTTCATGAAAATAAGCCGTAAAAAGAATTATATATGGTTCACCTCCTTGATTATGGTGACGGCAAACACAGATGTTGGTAGTCGTTTATAAAATGTAATTAGAAAGAAGTAAGCGTTAAAGTAACTATGAATATTATATAAATTGTTTGTATTTAGCCATAAAAGGTTATTTGAACTATAGGTAGCATTGTTTTGTACTGAAGTGACATATTACTGTGTAAGGTATCCGAGAAAAATTATGTGAGTAACAATAGACGTTGATAGTCTTTTTTACCGGTTTTCTGAACTTATACAGAAATAGTGTGTAACACCACATTAAATATGCACGAAATCTTCATAAGTAAATCGATGTGTGTCTCTTCTGAGCATGGTGACTAAACCATGTCTTACTTAATACTGACTTATGATGTGTCTGTTAGAGGGTTGACGAATAATTCTCTGTAAAGGAAATGCACAATCGCAGAAGAAAATGTGAACAAAGTTATGATGCATATTGTCGAGTAATATCTAAATGGTGCTTACCAATTTCTCCTGCTAATACCAGATATATAGACGAAATACTACAAGGGTTAGACACTGAAGAAATTTCCATTGCTTGTTAAGACACAAACTTAAATCAAAAAACAACTATTAATGAGTTAATTCATGAATTCCTACTGCATTACAGACTGACTCGTCCAAAGTAATTCATGCAGACAACGTGACGAAAAGTGAATGAGCAATGGAAGCAGAATCACAAGTTCCTTGTATTCATATCGCCTTTATGCCACATTATTGAATTACATTTTATTCATAAATCCGACCACGCTTCTATGTTGTGACGAACCTGATTTCAGCAATTTTTAAATAACACTGATTAGTGTGTTGTAAAGATTACCTATTAATTTTTATTAAAGGAAATAGAAATCTCTAATGATTAGCGCTGTCTGCAAATAAGAGACTTATAAGTACATTCTGTAACCTGCTATTTGATTGACTTATTAAATGTGATATTGATAACTAGGTCTAATTCTTTATTTCACGACTGATTTGTTTGTTTTTCAGAATTGTATGAATCAAATGAAGTCGTCAAAGCCTTGTGATGATGTTTACGCCGGTCTACAACTTATAGAATTTGTGATTATGGAAGACCATATTAAAATCATTTTTATTCAACAAATGAATTAGTGAAATATAAATATAGCAACTACACTTAGTGTCTTACGTTATAAACCGTGTCAGTATTTATTAATAGTCGATATGACGCTAGAACAAATATAGATAGAGAATAATATGAACTCCTTATAATCCATGGAATGAACAAGTAATAAGAATGATTATGTAATAATTCATTTCACTTTTAAAATTTAGTTACGCATTTTTTCCATCACCCTGTCACTTAATCCTCTGTAATTACGTGACCTCTGCAAATTGTAATCAATTATGACGTAACTCAAGTTTTCAGTTCTTAAATCCACGGATCATTTACAAGCTATAAGATTTTCACACCACTTATCTGTCTGTGAACTACAGTCAACTATTATATCACCCATTCTTAATGTGTTATTGACTGTAAAAGCAAATGACCTTTGACCTTACACTGCATATATATATATATAAATATATATATATATATTCACTATTGATAACCTGCGTCATTTCATTTATTCATATTCAGGTATGTCAACTGTTTCCCACATAACTGTTAAATCATATTGCATATTTAGTTGTAATGAATGCATACCACTGTTAATCAACATTTCTCCTGGTTTTATTTTGATTCATAAGCGGAATTAATCACATGAACTTAAAATGTACATAGGTACTGATACGATTTTAATGATAAACGTAATCCCACGAAGGTAAATACGTTATGTGGGTGCCTAATCTGCAAAACTGTACGTCGATGTAGGGTTTCTTAATCAATCTTAATTATTACAAACAGTTACACATGAACATCATTGCTATTCATTCCCATAAAAGTAGTAATAAGATGAAAATTGAAATTATGAAAGTTTATTGAAGAATCATTGCTGCAAAAGCAGAAAATCAAGTTTACAAGTTGGTATTAAGAATTCTTAAGTAATAATTGTCAACTTTCTTCTCAACTTCTGTTGCGAAGCGTTCACCATACTTCTCAATTATGCGATGTTTATGGATTCTTTGGCTGCGTTGAATACTTACATACTCTTCACTCCGTCTTGGTAATGCAGGTAATGTATAATTTTGGAAGTTCTGGGTATTGTGTAACTTCCATCTGCTACAATACCTAAGAAGTTGATGAGCTATGCAGTTAGTATTTCATTATTGATATAGCTTACCTGTAAGATTTCTTCTTTTAACGTAGGCAAGTAGCATGTGACGGCAGGGATATCGACACATCATAAACATGCTACAATTGCATTGACAAATGCTTATATCTACTTCATAATGTTGTCCACGGTCAACCATGAACAACCAGTCGCCGCTCTCATATTCCACGTAGACAAAACGCATTTGTTTAAGCTCGTATAACACTTTAGATCTTGCGAATGGCGTCAAAATATTTAGCAAGGGTATTAAACGTTGTGGAGCATTATATTTATAATATCTTCCGGCTATCAATTGATCTTCGACACTTCTTCTACTTGACATCATTTCACTCCATTTTAAAGCCTTGTACATACATTTGTACAGACTGTCACTTTTTCGTACATATCGTTTTACTTGCCGATTTAGCGATTCAACACGATTATTCGTGCTGTTACCCAATGTTAAAACATCACCGTAAAAGGCACGGGCCCACATTGTCTTACGTGCCATCCAATAACGTGACAGGTACTGACCTATCGATCTGTCCCGCCGATTGATTATTCTGTAATATTGATTAAATCTAGCGAATAAACACATTACAAAAATTACCTTCCAACCGTCTCTGCAGTTACCAATCTAGTTAAGTACGTTTTCAATATTTTGTCGTTTGTCTAAGGGCAATTTCATATAAGTAACTATTGGTGTACCTTTTTACGGAAAGCGCGAATTACATGAAAGGCGCACAAAATTATGTTTGCATGTCCGTGCTTTCACATCGTGCGCAATCCATCACAAATGTTTCAGTCAACATTGTGTCACCCATTACCTCTTTGAATTGATCTAAAATCCATATCACATCGGAACGCTTTTCCCTCCTAGTCCACGCAAACATTACAGTTCGACCTCGACCGAAATTATCCGTCACCACTATCTGGAATAAGGAATATCTACATAGTAAAACACAACGATAAACATATTCACTTTTTATTATTAGTATTATACGTAGAATCAATGCACACGACTTCTGGATATTTCCTATAGAGTTGTATTTGGTTATAACTACTGAAACATATTCTCGTCGCATATCCATTTTCTAAATGCTCCCTCACTTCGCCTTTTTGTCTAAGCATATCCATTACTTGCTTCCGAGTACAACAACCTGAAATATATTTATATACACTTACCAGTGGAGAGTGTAGCTTTCATAGCTTTGACATTGGCAGCAGTTACTTGCTTACCAGTTCTCTCCTTAATACTTTCGATAACTTCGTCTGCTGACTCACAGTGAAGTATTACGGGCTTCAAGTTCTCTTTTTCTTCTGACGATAATCTCCTTGTCCATGGATCACATACCATCCATGAACTACTACATGGATGATTGTGTATCATCTTGTAGGATTTGATTACATATCCTTGCTCTTCTAGTCTTACACGGAATTTAGATTGACAATTACGGAATTTAGACCTTAAACATAAGATATTAGTTAAAGATCTTACGATTTTTGCCTCACTTTCAAACCTTCCGATTTCCGTTTGTGACCAAACGTACAATTAAACGATACAAACAGGTATTTGAACCTGACATCCTTCAGCAATCTGCTTTCTGTGTGGATGTAACGAGTATAAGTAGTCTGAGAAGCGATAAAATTATAGTTCCATACTTTTTGGAACTCTTTTAAGGCATTTTCAAAATCATCCCACAACACGAAACGCTTGTTCAGTATCATACTTCGAAAGGCATCGGTTAGGTCGACTGAAATTTCACTTGAGGATGAAGCACTAAAAACAGACATGACTGATTATTAAACAGTTATTCCTTGCAACAATAATAACCCAAGGAAATACTACAAATACTTGAGATTTACCTGTGACTTGACATTTCGTTTAGCTTTACTACAATTGTTGGGATCAAAGATCAAATTACAAAGCAACAACAGAGCCAAAGTGCACACTACAAAACAGAGAACGCTAAATTAATGGTTTTGCTATTTATTTCGTGCTTTTTATGTAGCATAGGATGACTTATATATGAAAAAACTTGATACTCATGCAAACCAACCAACCCACGGCAATTGAAATACGGAATGACCGCCTCTAATCAAGCCGTTCAAGGTCGCTGAAACGAAAGGGCGGACACATTACAAAAGGACCTAACGTTTAAACCGTGCCAGTTATCTACTGATTCTTAACCGTTTGGAGTTACGACCAAAGTTCCAGAATGAGTTTGAATTCAATTAACATATGACACAATCCATAGTCCCAACCTTAAAGCACACTTATAAATCATATACTTAAGAATTTATCTCGCTCCTAAACGTGACCACTGAAACCCAAGCGAAAAAGAAAAAGACGGAGGCAGTAAAAATTCAGGTAAAAACTAAATTTCACGCCTCTGATGTATACTTTTTCAGGGAAATGTTTCGGCGAAAGGGAGTAAAATACGCAGTGTTCAGTATTTGGTGGTTTTCAAAGACCACCAGAATGGACATGTCCATCTTAATTATACCATGCGTGGTGGAGCGTGAGGTGCAGTGTGGAAGAATCCGGCGAAAAGAACGACAATAAACGCACACAGAATGGATTCATAAGTTGATAAAAGAAGAAATGGGGTGATAGTATAATTTACGGACGATGTTTCAGCGAAGCTGAAGCCGTCCACTGACGGAGGTTGCAAGCACTTGAAGGTCAAACTGTCGCAAGATGATTGGTGCATCACATCGACAGTTCGTGAAATTTTTCAGAAGCGGTCAAATCAAGACATTTTTAGATTTGAATTGAGTCCAGCCACACCATGTCTGATAACGTTCATTCTTCAAGTAACGAAGACGATGCCATCGTGATGATGCATGATATAGGAGGAATCTTCAATGATACTATGTTATCTCGAAGATTTACAAGTTGGGATAATTTTGAGACCTTTTTGAAGGAAGTACATAAGGTAATATGACTTCTGTGGTTAGTAATTATTTTTTTAGTATTCGCATACTAATTATGTTATGTCAGTATGCAAAAAGAACAGTGATGATCCAACTTCAAAGTACTTTTTCGTGAGATATGTCTGTACATATGGACGTAAACGCAGTTCGTCAGAGTCAGATGCTTGCGTTCAAGATGTAGATGATGATAGTAATAATCATCATATGTGAGCTTCGCTTTTCATAGCACATTATATTCAGATTTACTCGGAAGTACGAACATCTAAGGACGCATTTCCCACGGGCGTATAATTACATAAAAGATTATTGGATTGCCCGGAGGTCAATGTGGGCTCGCTGTTACCGGCGACATGTATTAAGCCTGGGCAACCACACAAACAACCGTGTGGAAAGTGCTCATAAACACCTAAAAGAATGTCTCAGAAGAGGTGATTCTTTGTTATTGACGTTTTGGAAAATTTGGATCAAAACAGACATTACCATTCGTTTGCGCTCATATGACGCTGTAAAGGACCTTCTAAGTTTTCCAATTCTTCAGGTAAGAAATATAGTTAAATGTATCATTAATTCCAGGTTCCAATGTCATTTCGAACTCTTCTAAATGAGTTCACATCTTTTGCAGCTAAAATTGTAGCTGTAAATTATAAACGCGTTCGGACAATGAGACACGAATTTATAGAAGGAGAATAAATCCGGTGCTACGACAAGGGCATGATGTATGTTGTTGATACTTCACGTGCACGATGTGCATGTGAGCGTCTTAATGACTACATGCTGCCCTGTGGTCATATTTTGTATGCACATTCTAAAGATCTGATTCGTGAAGGTATGTGTGTTCCTTTTGTAGACTTATTTCGACATAAAAACCGGTGGACTAGGAAATATATAATGGACCTGGTTCTTCATGCGCTGGACAACATCTCAATCTCTACAGGGAGTGATGATCTGCTAGAGAAGTCCACTAGCAACTACCACTCAATCCATGCTCTTAGTGAACCTTTGGCAAGTAAACTCATCCGTTCATGCCTCGAAGCATCGGAAGACATATGCGCACAATTGATGAGTTCAGTCGGTGCTAATGATGAAGCTACAACGTCAGAATCCATTGTTAATACAGACCATAGCTATGCTTCTTGATAACAAGAAGTTCTAATATTGTAATCTTTTTAGTTTTAAATAAATTCATTTATATGGCCATTGACTTATTCTTATAGCGTAACGGCAGGGAGTTTACTGTGCAGTGTTATGTGGCTGTGAGACAAGGATGTTGTTTCGCGTTCTTGTGTAATAATTACCAGTTTGGCGCACACGCGATTAGTCATACATACCGCTTACCAAATACTGCTACCTTGAACATGGTGTACCATACTAGTAGTCCGAATTTCGACCTGTCATGATAGATAAGAATTGCCGTAATTAAGAGATTAGTGCGCTATAAATGAAAACGTTTATTAAAGTTTGAATCTAGCACAAATGATCCATTAATAAATAACTTCTCTTTCTCCGGAATTGTTCCCGTTAGGTCTGTGAACACTTGCGAAGCTATCTGGAAATAAGATAGACAGGAAAGTTATTTCAGTATAAATGTTTACCAGAAACTAGTATAAAAACGGAAACCAGTATTCAGTTACAGATCGAAAGTGCATTTAGCACACCCTTTCTTTGGATTGTCAATCATGCTTATTTCCTTTATCTCTTGCGCTGCTTAGGAAAGTTTGTGTCGCAACATACATGGATTGTATTATTCAATTCTTTGGACAGGTTGCACTTCGGAAACTTAGACGATGAACATATATAAAGACTACTGTGTGAATTTACTTTGAATCGTTCTGTGTAACCTGCAATTCTTGATGCATATTCTATTCTAGTCCTACATAAGTTATGAATAATTGTCATTTACGGCATCAGCACGTAAGCTAGACAGGCCTTGGTTGATTTCCGAAGATCATCACATAGGATTTCACACAATCTGGTCACCTTAGATCAAGATATCTTGACTATCGAATCGTACTTTTCAGTGCTTTCTCGTGACAGCTTTATAACAGTACTTATTTCTGATATTAAGTATTTTTGCAATAATATCGGCAGCCAAAACATTGTAGATCCCCAGACAACCCAAAAAGGGAAAATAAAGCGGTAAATACTTTGGTAGCGAAAGGGGAAAACGCATCAGAATGTCGCCTTTTTCGCCTGTCCGGGGGAAATAATGTGGATTTCCCCTTTGTCGCCGTTTTGTCGATAAATTACTCACTTTTCGCCTAAATATCCGCCAAATTACCGAATTTTCGCCTAACTGTCCGCAGAATTGTCTACTTTTCGCCTAAATACACACAGAACTCCCTATTTTCCATCCATTGACATAACCCCAAGGGTCTCCTATGTTCGCCTTTATTTTCAACAACAGACCAAAATAAATCTGCAATACAGTGGAAAACCAGCATATTTTTGAAAATTTTTATTTAAAAGGTAAAGCGTATTATTGTACAACACTAGAGCAGAAGCTTAAGCATCGATTGTTTTGCACATCCAATGCAATTGCTAATTCATTGTTATTTGAAATTATCTGCAAAACAACAAAAACGTGATGTATTATTCATAAGGAATGTGCATTTATTCAAAAGTTCACTGACACTCAAACACATATTCTTAACACTTCTACAATTTCCCATGTAAGTAAAAAAGTAAGCTGTTTGAAAAATAATATTTATTGAAATGTAGGTAGAACATCAAAACAATTGCACAGCTATTGAGAATTGAGGTAGTCGTCCCGTGAATTCTGAATTTAAAAAAGGACAAAAGTCACAACCATATCTCAATGACATGCTTTGGTGCAGTCAAATACTTGTGTAGATCTACACAAGAGGTAGTAATGCTATCTTAGCTTGGTCTTTGGTAAAATCTCCACATAAATATACCTCTACCGCATGTTTATGATTTATTTCCTGCAATACAATCATCTGGTGGCTAATATATCTAACTGCAGGAGGTGATATTAACATCATGGTATGTGTTATTATCATCTATAGCATATACATAATATTTACAACACTCAGGACACCTTATGTTTTCACTATAAACCTATTTCTGCCATAAAAGTCGAACAAAACAGTGAAAATCAACAGAAATTGTGATAAAGATGGGAAAAACGATAAATCTTACCATGGTATCGTTAGTTGTAACGCAGTTTTGGTAGCCTTGACGACAATACAATTTTTATGACGATATATGCCTAAATCTTGCTATTTCATATAAAAATAAAAAATTTGTCTACCATCAGTGTATACCTAAGTAGAAATAATTACTAATCTGCGATGCAAACACGAAAAAACAATTATAGCAGCACCTGAATAATGAATTTTCAAGGACTTCACGATACCATGTAACGCAAAATGAAAAAACCCCTTTTCACCTAATTATGAAAACGGAAAATAGACTTTCAAATCTATTCATAATTAATTTCGAAATTTGGTTGTGCACAAAGCAGAAATGAAAAAGTAGCGCAAAAAAGTGTCGCGATATCCCTGGAGTACTAACGTACTAAACTTCCCGTTCGAAAAGCGCGCGCTGATTAATGAGCTTATCTAAGTTATCTACTGATTCTTAACCGTTTGGAGTTACGACCAAAGTTCCAGAATGAGTTTGAATTCAATTAACATATGACACAATCCATAGTCCCAACCTTAAAGCACACTTATAAATCATATACTTAAGAATTTATCTCGCTCCTAAACGTGACCACTGAAACCCAAGCGAAAAAGAAAAAGACGGAGGCAGTAAAAATTCAGGTAAAAACTAAATTTCACGCCTCTGATGTATACTTTTTCAGGGAAATGTTTCGGCGAAAGGGAGTAAAATACGCAGTGTTCAGTATTTGGTGGTTTTCAAAGACCACCAGAATGGACATGTCCATCTTAATTATACCATGCGTGGTGGAGCGTGAGGTGCAGTGTGGAAGAATCCGGCGAAAAGAACGACAATAAACGCACACAGAATGGATTCATAAGTTGATAAAAGAAGAAATGGGGTGATAGTATAATTTACGGACGATGTTTCAGCGAAGCTGAAGCCGTCCACTGACGGAGGTTGCAAGCACTTGAAGGTCAAACTGTCGCTAGATGATTGGTGCATCACATCGACAGTTCGTGAAATTTTTCAGAAGCGGTCAAATCAAGACATTTTTAGATTTGAATTGAGTCCAGCCACACCATGTCTGATAACGTTCATTCTTCAAGTAACGAAGACGATGCCATCGTGATGATGCATGATATAGGAGGAATCTTCAATGATACTATGTTATCTCGAAGATTTACAAGTTGGGATAATTTTGAGACCTTTTTGAAGGAAGTACATAAGGTAATATGACTTCTGTGGTTAATAATTATTTTTTTAGTATTCGCATACTAATTATGTTATGTCAGTATGCAAAAAGAACAGTGATGATCCAACTTCAAAGTACTTTTTCGTGAGATATGTCTGTACATATGGACGTAAACGCAGTTCGTCAGAGTCAGATGCTTGCGTTCAAGATGTAGATGATGATAGTAATAATCATCATATGTGAGCTTCGCTTTTCATAGCACATTATATTCAGATTTACTCGGAAGTACGAACATCTAAGGACGCATTTCCCACGGGCGTATAATTACATAAAAGATTATTGGATTGCCCGGAGGTCAATGTGGGCTCGCTGTTACCGGCGACATGTATTAAGCCTGGGCAACCACACAAACAACCGTGTGGAAAGTGCTCATAAACACCTAAAAGAATGTCTCAGAAGAGGTGATTCTTTGTTATTGACGTTTTGGAAAATTTGGATCAAAACAGACATTACCATTCGTTTGCGCTCATATGACGCTGTAAAGGACCTTCTAAGTTTTCCAATTCTTCAGGTAAGAAATATAGTTAAATGTATCATTAATTCCAGGTTCCAATGTCATTTCGAACTCTTCTAAATGAGTTCACATCTTTTGCAGCTAAAATTGTAGCTGTAAATTATAAACGCGTTCGGACAATGAGACACGAATTTATAGAAGGAGAATAAATCCGGTGCTACGACAAGGGCATGATGTATGTTGTTGATACTTCACGTGCACGATGTGCATGTGAGCGTCTTAATGACTACATGCTGCCCTGTGGTCATATTTTGTATGCACATTCTAAAGATCTGATTCGTGAAGGTATGTGTGTTCCTTTTGTAGACTTATTTCGACATAAAAACCGGTGGACTAGGAAATATATAATGGACCTGGTTCTTCATGCGCTGGACAACATCTCAATCTCTACAGGGAGTGATGATCTGCTAGAGAAGTCCACTAGCAACTACCACTCAATCCATGCTCTTAGTGAACCTTTGGCAAGTAAACTCATCCATTCATGCCTCGAAGCATCGGAAGACATATGCGCACATGTGATGAGTTCAATAGGTGCTAATGATGAAGCTACAACGTCAGAATCCATTGTTAACACAGACCATAGCTATGCTTTTTGATAACAAAAAGTTCTGATATTGTAATCTTTTTAGTTTCACATAAATTCATTTATATGGCCATTGACTTATTCTTATAGCGTAACGGTAGGGAGAGTGTACTGTGCAGTCTTATGTGGCTGTGAGACAGGGATGTTGTTTCGCGTTCTTGTTTAATAATTACCAGTTTGGCGCACACCCGATTAGTCATGTATACCGTTTATCAAATACTGCAACCTTGAACATGGTGTACCATACTAATAGTTTGGATTTCGACCTGTCACGATAGATAAGAATTGCCGTAATTAAAAAACATGCGTTAAAAATGAGAACGTTTATTAAAGTTTAAATCTAGCACAAATGACCCACTAATAAATAACTTCTATTTCTTAGGAATTGTCCCCGTTAGGTCTGTGAACACTTGCGAAGCCAGCTGGAAATAAGATACACAAGAAATAGTTATTGCAGTATAAATATTTACCAGGAACTAGTATAAGAACTGTAACCAGTAGTCAATTACAGATCGAGAAGTGCATTTAGCACACCCTTTCTTTGGATAGTCAGTCACGCTTATTTCCTTTATCTCTTGCGCTGCTTAGGAAAGTTTGTGTCGCAACATACATGGATTGTATTATTCAATTCTTTGGACAGGTTGCACTTCGGAAACTTAGACGATGAACATATATAAAGACTACTGTGTGAATTTACTTTGAATCGTTCTGTGTAACCTG